AAACCAAATATTGTAATAAAAAATCTTATTTAATTAATCAGATCTCCAATAAAATGCAGTCAGCATAATTATAAATATAGTATGTATACAAAATATAATAAATGCACGCTCTGTCGACAACGAACGCTCCAGAGACACGAGTCTGTTGCGATACGAAGCGATGCGAGTATTCGTTTGAACATTATTCTAAGTCGCTGCGGGACGAAGCGAGTCTTTGGCGTGAGCGAAGCGAAGCCGCTTCGTATCAGGGCGCGGCCAGGAGGGGGTCGGCGTCCTCGGCCTCGTCGTCGGCCTCGGCGTCGTCTTCGTCGTCGCCTTCGTCGGCGGCGAGCAGCGTGCGACACGTGACGTCGTTGGGGCGGCCCAGCGCCAGCGTGCGGCCCTCCAGGCGCGTCCGCTCCGCGCGGCGCCGGCGCACGCGCAGCGCGCCCCCCGCGCCCCCCTCCGCGCGCAGCTCGGAGCGGCGGCGCAGCGCCAGCGGGGCCGAGGCGGCGCGCACGCACAGCGCCACGCCGGAGTAGAAGTCCAGGTCGGCCGCCACCGCCAGGCGCGGCGCCAGCTGCACGCGCGCCGCGGCCGCCAGCGCCACGCCCGCGCCGCGCACGCGCACGCGCGCGTCGGCCGCCACGCCGGCGCGCAGCCGCAGCTGGGCGCGCGCGCTGCGCGTCCACAGCGACAGCGTGGCGTGCGCGTCCAGCGCTAGCGCGGCGGCGGCGCGGGTGGACGCGCGCGCCCACAGCCCGGCCGCCAGCGCCAGGCGGCCGCGCCGCGCCGGGCCCGCCCACAGCGCGCGCAGCACGGCCGTGGGCGCGCTGGCCGTGCCGGCCCACACGTGGCCCAGCAGCTCGGCCTGGCCGCGGAACAGCTCCACGTCGGGCAGGCGCGCGCCCGCCACGCTCAGCGCCAGCCCGGCCGCGGGCTCCTCCTGCTCGCCGGGCTCCGCGCCGTCTGCGCCGTCCGCGCTGCCTCCGCTGAACGCCTCGAGGCCCTGCGTCCACACCTCCACCTATAATCAATAAATAACATTTCACTGCACGGTTGGCGCGGTGGCTGGGCAACTGACTGACGCCAAAGTGTCGCGGCACTCCTCGCAGTATAGCGTGTATGTAGGGTATCATATGCAGGCTCAATGAGTATATCGGTTGCGGTGGAAGTGTCTGTTAATGTCATTCCCCTCCCACAACTAGCGTGCGGGGTGTCCACGTGCCTGTGTATCGTGGACTGTATTTTCGTCAACGTACGTCGCGCGCCATCTTCCCGCGCGGTCGACGAGTCGACCCGAGGTGTACACAATGCAATAGCACTAACCGAGAGTACGTCGTGCGCGGCCCCCAGCGGGTCCCGCGCCTGCAACCGCACGGCCCCGCGGCGCAGCAGGCCGGCGCGCGCCACCTGCAGCGCCAGCAGGTCGGCGCGCCAGCCGCCGCACGCCCAGCCCGGCGCCCGCGCCAGGACCGAGCTGCTGCCGCCCGGCGCCGCCGCGTCCCAGCCGCGCAGCGCGCCGCCCAGCTGGCCGGGCAGCGCGCGCAGCGCCTCCGACTCCGGGGCCAGCGCCGCCACGCGCCCCCACAGCACGCGGCGCAGCTCGTGGGCCGCGAGGCCGCGCTCGGAGTACAGCGCGGCCGCCAGCGCCGCCAGCGAGGCCGGCAGGTCGGCGCGGCGCTGCACCAGCAGGTCCAGCGCGGCGGCGCGCACGTCCAGCGGCGCCGTGCGGTTGAGCGCCAGGTGCTCCAGGCGATGCAGCTGCGCGGCGCCCAGCGCGGCGGCGGGCGCGGCCTGCAGCGCGACCAGCGCGGCGGGCGCGGCGGCGTCGGCTCGCCGGGCGTGCTCCAGGAGCACGTCGGCGACGGGCGCGCGCAGGTTGGCCAGCGCCAGCAGACGCGGCGCGCGGCAGGCGGGGTCCCTGCAGCGCGCCAGGCCGCGCAGGGCGGCGTCGCGGACGGCGGGCGCGGCGGAGGGCACGCGCGCGGCGGCAGCGGCGGCGGCCAGCAGGGCGGCGGCGCCCAGGGAGGGCTCGCGCGCCTCCTCGGCCAGGCGCAGCGCGTCCAGCACGGCGCCCTCCTGCGGCGATGCGACACTACTATATACCCTCGCAGGCTCAGCTATACAGGCGGCGTCCCGAGTGAGGAACGAGACTCACACGATACAACATTTGGGGTTGACGAGAGTTCGATAACAACAGTACATTATGGAACACGTGTGTAAAGTTGGTGACTACCGCATTTTGGCTCAAGAGTAAGCGTAACTCAACCCATTATTTAAAAAAGAACTCTATTACTCACTTGTACATCATGGTATTGAAAGTCACAGTTTGATTATAGGTATCATTACGCGCCTAATTGTCGGAGGATAAGAGCCTTTTTATGAGAAAGTGTGTTGAAATTTTTAATTTTATTTGAAGGTATTATCATTGATAATTTTGTATAACACAGTAACAAAGGTAGGTCACAGTGAGATAGTCCGGGATTCCTCTGATATTTGTCTTTGTTTCTAAAGCAATTATGTATGTTAAAGTACTGTAATTTCATCAAGATGTGAAGTTCACCTAATCATTGAGCCAAAACATGGTCGAGGGAACTCCTCAACGGTCTACAGTAACTACCCCGAGTCTGTATTTCCCGAAGAACCTGGATGTCGCGAAGGATCAAGAAGTAGACTGCATCCTCGCTTACGTCCAGGCAAGAGAGCATTAGAGTGGTACGGGGGTACGAGAGGCAAAATTGACGTGAGCAAAAATTTGCAATGTTTTGAAAAAGAACCGATATACACAATTTTAATACAAGAGGTAAAGAGAGGCTGGCTGTGCCACGATTCCGTCTGTCCAAAGTACAGAAATCCTTAACGGGATTCTGTGTAAATTGTTACAATAAAATTCCAAGTAGTGTATTTAATTATAGATGGTTTGAGTCATATTTACACAATCGAAGCCAGTGCGTAGAAATCGACCACCATAACTCCGAAAGTGGCAAAATCACCCAGGTAAGATCTCAGATAATAGATGTACAGAATTCCATCCCTCAGGGAAGTGTGTTGGGGTGTCTACTGTTCTTGATCTACATAAACGATCTACCGAAAGTAATTAATGCTACGAGTATCCTGTTTGCAGATGACATATCAGTTGTACTTCCTTGTGAAAGTGAGCAAAATCTAAATAATACATTAAAATGTTTATTTAAAAATATAACTAGTTGGCTAAATGATCACAATCTACAAGTTAACTTTAAGAAAACCAAACTCATGCAGTTTAAACCCTACCAAAAACGCAACTTATGTATTGACTTTGCATATAATGATGAGAAGATTGAAAGTACAAACAACTTCAAACTTTTGGGCTTAAATATTGATAGTCACCTTAACTGGAAATCCCACGCTCAGATCATAAGCAGCAAACTGTCAAAATTTACTTACGCCCTTTACCATCTAAAAACATCAACGGACAAAAAATCTGCCCTCACTGCATATTATGCATATGCGCACTCATGGATACGCTATGGCATAGCATTGTGGGGTAATAGTACTGACGCGGATGACATATTTAAGCTCCAAAAGAAATGCATTCGCATTTTGGCCAATGATAGGGAAACAGATAGCTGTATACCACACTTTAAAACACTCCGTATTCTTACTTTGACTTCTCTGTACATATTGGATTTGAGCTTATATGTTTACAAAAATATTAATCTTTTTAGTCGTAACCGTGACCACTATTCGCAAGACCGTAAATTAAGAAATAGAAATAACTTATCGCTTCCTACCTCCAACTTATCATGCACTATTGCATGTCAATAAAAATCTATAACAAAATACCTAATTATTTAAAAAAAGAATCAAAATTTATCACCTTTAAAAGAAAACTAAATAACTACCTCATTGATAAATGCTATTATAGTTTGCAAGAGTTTTTTGAGGATAAAATACAGCAATGAATGACAATTATAAAAAAGAAAAAAGAAAAATAATGCATGAATAAAATAATGTAGGTAAATGAGAATTAATTAAATAAATTGTGATAAAACTTTTATATTAAATTATATGATACGTATAATTTTCAAAAATATTGTGTGTATATTGTTGTTTAAGATAAATTGCAGCGCCCTTACAGGGTCATGTTGATACTATTTAACCATCATATGTATTATGTATAACACCTTGTTACCCACACATGAAGCAATAAAGACTTTGTTTGAATTTGAATTTGAATCTTAATGAACGATTTAAACCTTATATTAAACGCGAATTGTGTAGACAGGCATACTACAAACTTTCAGATTATATTGAGGATCAGAATGCCTGGCAGCGTGTTGATTCGGCTCCACTGGACAATACTCAAATATAGTCAGCAGTTAGTAAAATTCTTAAAATCAATGAATCCTCAGCTTATGTATCCAAAGAGTTTATATAGAAGCATTCTTAAAACTTTTGAATACGCATATGTGAGCGCCATGTTCGAGACGACAAAGGATTAAAATTAAATGATAGATCCCATCATTTGTTCTTTTTTTTACAACTTGTCTCTGCATTGTTTTCACATAAGGGTACAATAATGTATACTAAATGTTATATTACTGAAATTGTAAAAGATACATATTTTTTTCAAAAAGAGTAATGATCGTGTTTCTTGCTCGTTCTTCTCCATTCGAATCTACAATATGTAACGAGCATCTAGCTTCATTGACGAACAGACTGACAGACTACTTTTCTATTTTGTCGTTTCAAAAGTACCTATTTATGGTTTAGTTGGAATAAATGATTTTGACTTTGAGACGCACCTCGGGGTCGGGAGCGAGCGCGAAGGCGGCGAGGAAGGTGGAGGCGTGGGGCTGCAGCGGGTCGCGCGCCGCCAGCTGCAGCGCCGCCGCCGCCGCCGCCAGCGCCGCGCGCGTCCCCGCCAGCCCCAGCAGGCGCAGCAGCCCCGGCGCCGGCGCCGCCTGCAGCAGCGCCAGCAGCGCGGCGCGCGGCGCCCGGCGCAGGCGGGGCAGCAGCGCCAGCGCGGCGCGCGCCCCGCCCGTGGCGCCGCCCGCGCCCGGCGCCTCGTCGCCCAGCGCGCCGGCCCAGCGCTGCACGGCCGCGCCCAGCTCCTGCGCCGCCCGAACCTTACTCACTCGACACTCTCGCCCTAGGCCAGCCTCACACGCTGGACTCCACCACTAGTAAAACCGTGCAATACGCTCTCTACTATGTTATATTTCGCGTTTAAGTTGCAGATACGTCGGAGACGGAGCTTGATGAAACAAGCTCAGGAGTGCCACAGGGTAGCACACTGCGTCCCGTGTTGTGAGCACTTAACGACACACCGGCAAGCGACTGGTATTCTTCGAAATCACATCCAAGTGAAAAGAGGTTTTGGGACTTATCACATTTTTGTAATATAGAATTTTAATTAGTTTTAGGCAAGTAAACCAAGTATAGGCAAATTTAATACATAATTATCTATGGTAGAACTGGATAAACCAGGAAAAGTCCCGATTATTAGGGTAAAGCACCTTGTCAATGCTGGCAGTGGTCTAGTCTCAACATTAATTAGGAGCTATGTCAAAACCCTCCAGAATCTATTCCACTACTAGACTGAGTGAGGCCAATTGGTCATTCTCCAAGGCTCATGACATTAGCTGATCCACATTCAACACAGTAGCTACATATGGGGATACAAGTTACTGCACCTGCAGGTCACAAAAACTTAATGAAAATTATTAAAATGACACAGTCTCATAGAATATTTAAAGAAAGGTGGTTTTGACAATTTGAAATAGGTAAATATAGAATTTGACAATGGACATATACCTACCATATACCTGATTATGTCTCATTGGTCACATCCCAGGTGCCTGAACTACTCATACTCATACTATACGAGTTATAAAAATATAGTTAAACTATAGCAGAATGTAACTATAGCAAATTAAATAGTTCAGGCACAAAAACCTTCTAGGAATCGTACAACGACACGGTTATTAGTCTGCAAGAAACACCTAGCTCAGGCCGGTCGCTTTCATATCTTAACTCTTTGTTAGTATCAAGTATTTCATAATTGTGTTATTATTAGTATAAGTCATAATTACATCACATTATATACATAACTAAGAATTAACTATTGACATTACTATATTTCTTTTGTAAAAGTTATCACCAAATTAATTACAAATATTGTTGGCTCAGTGCATTCCACTACATACTTTACATATTGATGCTGAAGTTAACATGGTAGAGAAACATGGATATACTATAGCAGAGGTGTCTAATGCACATTCAAATTGTCCTTCACACTTTATCAATTAAATAAGTACTGATCTATGGTTGATTTCATAATTTTGAATAGATGACACTGGAAACTGGAATACACCGCACTGCTGAGGTGCGTGGGTTTCATCTAAATCTTTTTATGTAATCGTTTTGCGCCTGTATATAGTTGAGTGACGACGACTGTATTGATAGGCCCCTTTTCCTGCACAACGCCAACAAAGTTGCGGATGCAGTACTATTTTTAGATAAGCTTGTATGAAGTACAGTCTCTCACAAGAGATAAGAGTAATGTAAGCGGCGAGTGGTCCACGTGGCGGACGACGCGCGTCGCGCGGCGGTATCGGGGCCAGCGATAGTTGCGGGTTATCTGCGGGTCACCTACCTCGACCTCGTCATCCTCCTCGTCATCGTCATGGGCTGGCTGGCCGGGCTCGGCTTGCTCGGGCCGCAGAGTCAGCGGCTCAATACGTAGTATGCTTGGTATGAGCTCCAGTGCAGCAGACAGATCCGAGGCGAGCGGCGAAGCGGGCGCGGGGGGTGCTTCCTCGTCGCGTTGCAGGGAGTGCCACGAGCGCAGTTTGAGCCCCAGCTTAGCATGGCCAACTGCCAATAGCTCCTCTGCATGCAGTTGCTGAATCTGAAGTCCAGCCTTCCCGGAGTTTTCACCCAAGGAGTAACGTGCTAGACGTCGGGCACTGACTACTCCGGCCTCCTCATCTCCCAGACAACGTCTCTGCCAAATTTATAACTATTTAAACAGCTTCTATTTTACAATGCCTTACAAGGAGAAATATTCTGAGGATGCCATCAAGTAAGATGACACATGATAAGCTCATCCATAAATTTGTTTATATGCATATTTTACAAGTGTACCTTTATTTTTCTGAAGACATCCTTAGAAATGGTCTCATAGAGAACATCACAGGATCCCGAAACATCTGTCTCATTGTGATCTCCACTCAACATCTGGAACTGAATGATACCACACCAATTAACAAATATTATCATTATTACTGAACTGTAGGTAAAATGAGTTTGTAAATCTTGTTCACTACCTGAAACAGACTTAGTACTGCTTTCTGATAATTGGCCACATCAGGCAACTCATTAGGATTGAGATAGGCTTCTTTAATCAATCCGTGGCTCCAATACGCATAGAAAGTAGTATCCCCAACGGAGTCCCACACCGAGTCGTAAGGCATGAAGTCTGCATTCACGTGCTTCCCTCTGAGGAACAGTTTGGGGGAGATCAACTGGAACAAACAAAAAGATTAAACACCTGAGACGCGGACAGGCACACCTGCGCCCTAAGGCGACAGCTCACCTGGAACTGCAGCAAGTAGTCGGACGCGTCGCGCGCCCACAGCGGGCGCAGGCGCAGGCGCGCGCGCAGCTTGTAGCCGACCTCCTTGACGCTGCGCGCCGCGTCGTTGAGCTGCAGCGTGGTCTCCAGCCGGTAGTCGGCCGCCGCGCCCAGCGCGCGCCACGGCCGCGGGCCCGTCAGCTCGGCCGGCTCCGCCAGCCCCGCCAGCCCCACCAGCGACGCCCACACCACCACACACCACACGCCGACACCCATACTTCGATGCGGTCGCGTCTTAATTTTTACAATGTTCCTGTCTCCTGTACGGACATGTCAATTGTCAGGCTAGCGCTCTTCAATTCTCTCGATGTTGCTGTCGTAGGTTTCACGAACTTCATATCGAGCGGAATTGGAACAGTGACATAAGTAATTGTCAAATTACCAATCAAGATGTCAATTGTCATGTCACTGACATGACAGATGACAGACAAATAAATGTCAACATTTCAATGTCAGCAAAACAAAATTTAAATAATAATGTTGTAGTAAACTTTAAAATGTAAAGTTTACCATATCAACTCTTTGTTGCTCTTTTGTTTTACTGTAACCATATCGTAAATTAAATATTTATATAAACGGTAAAACAAAAGAGAGCAGTAAAAATTAAATAAAAAAATACAAATACATTGTTTTTTTTGTTATACAGAAAATTTATAGTTCGATGCGACGTGCAAAAAGTTAAAGTTGGAGTCGCGTGGAATAGTGACTACCTTCATAGTGACTCACACACACATTATTTATCTTCCACCATTTCTTTGTACATTTTGCACCATTTACTAGGGTCTTAATTATGAATCCACCGAATGCTTACTCAAACCTATACATAAATATGTATCAATTATTGCGAGTAGATTTATGTTTAACATGTTTTATTTATTCACACTTATTATTCATTAATAATTTTAGTCACTCATCCATTGGCTTGGCATCCATAGTCATTAAACATACTTTACATTTTGTACTAACATAGACCTATAAACTTTATTAAGTTTATATTCTCTTAGTTTTGTCTACGACATTCGTTAGTTTTAAATGTATTTTTTATGTTTTTAACCGTTCTATCGTATCTAATGGTAATTTGTCATATAAAAATTGTCAAATTTTAACCGTTTTGATTTCTAAGTGTAGTAATTTTAAATTGTCCAAATGTCTCCTAAAGTAAGTGTAATTTATAAGAAAACAATGGAACGCGTTGCAGGGTGGACTGGTAATCAGTGTATATGGTATAGGTTCCTCCTACACAGACACCAGTCTCACGTTTATTTTGTCAATTTTGTGATGTGAGAAAATATAATTTATGGAATCAGGCGTTAGTTTGGCGGAAATCCATGACATTAAATGTTAGAAAAATATTTAGTGCATGCAGCAAGGGTGTCCTTGCTGCATGTGCATATGCATGATTGCATAGGAGTGGGATTGCATCCTGCAACAAGCCTGGATCTTTGTCGCGGAATTAAAACTAAATATTTTGCTAACATTTAGTGAGAAAATATTATTTTTAGGTTAGTTCTTGGCTTTCGCGGGATCACAGGACGGGACTTTTAAAAGCGTACCAGAGGCCGAAGCCAGCTCAATGAGGCCCGTTGAACAGTTATAATCTAAATGTGTGATGAGACATTAGCCGGCAGTTATCCCTGTATGCAATATAAAGGTGCACCCAAGAACACTGACTGATGCAGTACAATTGTGCGATATGGTAGAAAATGATATGGTTGCGGGTGTGGATGGCTATGGATTTGTAGATGATAACTATAGAAATACTATGACCCTGCCCCTGACCAATATTGATACATACGGATAAACAGGCAGGGGGTGACTGGCAAACTCAATTAACAGGTACCGGAAGTGGCCGCTAGCACGTAGCGATATATCCCATAGCTATCAGAGCAACCCCGGAAGTACGGTCAAGATCCCTACCAGCAACGTACTGAGAAGGAGTGTTGAAGGAGACTCAACAAGGGGAAGGATGTACCTTCCCCTTGTTGAGTCTCCTTCAACTCCCACTCTTGTGAATCTCCTCTCAAACCGGCCAATTAAGGCAAGAATGAGGTAGAAGGACTTGCTCCTCATCAGTATTCACTCCAGCTAGCCACGAGGACTTACCGGAGATGAAGAACAAGATACCTCCCGGGAGTCAGGTCCGTGGGGTCGCCACTGCCCAACATCTTGCCACTAGCTGCCTTGCGGATTTATTATTTCGTTAGTACGACCACATCTCTTCCCATCGAGTTAAGCTTGAATGGCTTCTTATCCGTCTTAACATCAATTTATTTTTTCTGGAAAATTTTACATGGTAGCATTTTTTTACATTTAACTTCATGTCTTTGTACTTACACCACTCTGCCAGAGCATCATTGTCACGCTAGAGCAACTCAACGTCAGCGTCGGATTCAATCATCATCATCATCATCATCAGCATACGTAGAATGTATGCTGATGCATACATGACAGTCTGCCAACAGGGAGAGATGGCGGGAGATCGTGCGGAGAGTTGTGTCCGCCTCTACCACCGATGTGGATGCCTCTACGTGACCACGACCGCTCTGCCAAGAGCGAAACGACAGAGAAGAATATAGGACCAATATTGGATCCTTGGGAAACACCGGATGTAATCCCAGGTTTGACTAGTAGCCATTAACGGCTACTATACATATATCACATCCACCTGATTAGCATTATCAACAGGCCCAGTAAAAACTACCAAATTAGTGCAAATACACCTAGAAGTTACAAAACCGTGCTGGGAGATGCTAAGTGTGACTTAGTCTCAGTCTTAAGTGTGACTGTATAAATGGGCAAATCAAAAATTCGAAAACATTGCAGAGGCTGACAGAATACAAATTGGTCTGTAGTTGCTGACACAAATGCTATCGCCGGATTATTTATTGGTAGGTACAACCTTAGCTTCTTTCCAAACGTTAGGGAAAGTTCCTAGTGCAAGAGTTCGATTATATTTAAGCAGCAGAGGAGCTGTTATGAAAGAAGCGCACATGAAGACAAAAAAGGAGTACCTATCAGAAAATGAAAATATTTGTTATTATAGTTTATTTTTTGTTAAAGATTACTGAAAAAGTAATATTTTTTATTTTTAATAGTTGATATATCAACAATGTTCCTATTAAAGTTTATATTAATGATTGCTCGAGGAGTAAATATGTTTATGTTCAATAGTTGATTTAACAAAATTCTTATTAAAATGTTTGTTATGATTACTGAAGAAGTAAATACTTATGTTTATTTGAATAGAGAAGAGAACTTTGTGGAAATGAAAGGAGAAGAACTGTTGTTTATTTAAACGAAATGTTGATTAGTTTAGGTCTCTTTATACCAGCATAATTTGAAAGACTTGTTAATTTTTGATAAGACTGTGATAGAAGGCTGTCTTAGAATATAAATAAATAAATAATTATGAAGAAAATTGGTATTTTATTGAACTTTTTTTTAAAAGATCCAGTGTACCCCAGGCGATTCCCTGTGACCCATTAAAAGATCCAAAGTGACCCATCTACGGGTCACAGTGGATCATTTCCCATTTTTTAAAAAACTTGTTATAACTTGTAAATTTATACCGTTTTTACCATTAATTGCACCTGGTTTTGTAGATTAGGGTCATATCTTGTGGTTAATTATCATAGATTAATTATTTACGCAAAAACTTGGGATTTGTGGAGCTTGAAAAAAAAAGTGATCCATTGTTACCCACTCTCCCCTAGGTACTTAATACCGTCCGGGCCAGCTACTTTTCGATGGTCGAGAAACTTTAATTTATTAAGCAAAGTATCGTGATCGATTACTGGGGCCGACAAGGTCAGGCTGTAGGCCGCCATAGTTTTCAAGTAATCTGTACACAGAGGAAAGCTCGTATTATTTAAGGAACAATACATAGAATAAAATAAGCAGCAAACATTTCGGAAATATTTGTTCCATTAAAAGAAGTTGTCACGCCGTCGTTCATAGTAAGCGGATAGGAACTACCGTCGCCGCGTTTTCCCTTTATTTAGGCCCAAAACTGTTTGGGATTATTGATGTTAGATGCCAGGTCTCTTAAATGTGTATTGAGGAGGTAGCTATAGCTGGGCACCGCTTACTTACTCAACAACTTCAGTTCAAGCTCATCCATAGGGTTCCCATACAACTTATACCGAATACGTAACTTTCTTTTTCGCTCAGGGCTCTTATAAGCTTTCTATTGAACCACAGCGGTGAGTTTGAGTGACGACGTGGGGGATGCTTTTGTATTAATAAATAGGTGACCCATATGACCGTTATCTAACTCACTTACCAAACGCCAATTGATGTTGCCCGGATTAAAGTACTATACAGGTCTTCAACCCTGATTGTTCAATCAAAATGTTACAGGAGTCAAGAAACAGTTCCAGATTTGAGTGCTGGTGAAAGTGGTGAAACCGAATATCCGCCATATTTCACCGCACCACTGCAGGACCGGCGGCTTACCTACCTTAGCACTTTGACAATGTGTCACTACGTCTTTCAGTATTCTGAAAATATTGTTTTATACTTTTTCAGCGTCGGTTTTTGTTGTTTTCGTTTTTATACTTTTAATTAGTTAATTTTATTTTCAGACGCTGTTAAGAGCACGCCGGGTGCACGGTACGTACACCCTGCTATCGCAATGTATTGTGGTTTGAATTTGAACTGTGACCGTGATTTGGGCTGTCATTGTGACATCAGCACTAAGCTTCTTTTATTATCCTGCGAAAACAATAACAAATAATGACATAATCATGAAGCATGTTCAAGTAATTAATTAATTCGTCTTCTTTTATAATCAGTAACTTGTTTTTTTTTTATTTACTAGTGCTCTACTGCACCAGCATCAGAGCACCAAATAAACTAAATAAAACTTTGCATGGTAGGTGTAAAACAAAGTCGCTTTAAAAGTAGACGAAAAGCTCAGAACAGTTTGTATGGGAAAGATGAATGAGAAGAAGAATTGATGGTTTTATTCATGTTTTCTGACATTTATTCAGGTTTATAAAATAGGGCGTTCGTGAATATCAACGGCGCCGACACAGTATATGTAGGCGTGCTATATATCTATATGTTAAAGTCATAACTAATAACCAGTCAAAACCACTTTTGACCTTATGACTTAAAAATAGTTTTGACAGAATTTTGCGTCAAAAGTGTTATTGACTAAGGGCGTTGGTCTAAAGTACTTTTAACTAAGACTTGGCCGTTGAAGAGTAACTCCACGTTTTCCAAGTAGCAATTTTCCATCGTCAATCGTCGGGGCTGGCGACAGGTTGATGCAATGATGTTATGGAGCATCTGGTTTTGTACCCTTATGTAGGTGCTCTTCAACGGCCTAGTCACACAACATTAATAATAACAAAATCGCAATAAGGATCTTTAGACTTGGCACGACTTTGTTATATTTTGAAGGGATGTGGTATACGGATCCTGTCAACATACATTCATGTTTGCGTTTACAAAGACATTCCAACATATTTCATTACTTTTTAGAGATAAACTAGTAGCTCCATCCAGGCTTGGCCTGTTTTTTACATAATGTTTTGGTGGGATTGTACATATAGATGTACATACTATAGAAGTAAGGGCTTTTATGTTGCTAAGACACTTGTAAGTTAGACTACATTTTCATAGCGTTTATGCTGCACAGGACTTAATAGGTGCAAACTTTGAAGTCAAAAACCATGGGAACTGAACCGATTTTTATGAAATTTGGTATTGACACGTAATAAATCAAGGTCTTAAAAGTTAATTTAAACATTTCGACATTTATGGTGTATATACATACATATACAACTCGCTTATACCTACCACGTAATTTGGGTCTGACCATGGATGCGGAGTTGAGATACGAGGCACACGTGGCAAAGTCAGTGCGCGCATGTTTCTACCGGCTTAGCATTCTTTACAAAATAAGGCCCTATTTGTCGGAGGAATTGCGTGTGAGGCTGGCTGAGTCACTAGTGCTTTCTTGCCTTAACTATGCAGACACTGTTTATGGTCCTCGATTGCTGGCACGAACGGAACGCCTGATCCAGAGAGTGCAAAACGCCTGCGCCAGATTCTGCTTCAAAATACCACACGTCACCCCCTTTTTTAATCAACACTCCATCCTTAAGATGAAGTCACGCCGCAAGTTACACCTGGCTTGCCTGCTCTTCGGAATTATAAAGTACAAGGAACCTTCTTATTTATATAACAAACTCAGCTGGATTGCTGGTAGGAGAGAACGCCCAGTAAGACAATGCTCACAACAACTCTCCACGCAACCGCACAGCACTGCGGCTTTCAGGGGCAGTTTCAGGTACGCTGCTACTAAATGCTGGAACAATATTCCTCCGCCAATAAGAAATAAAAAGACAATTGGTACTTTTAGAACACACCTACGAAAGTTCAACAACCTAAAACACTAATCCCAAAAACACAAAACACTGAGCACTAAATACGCCTTTAATGTTCATTGTTCGGTCTACTCGACGTCCGTACGTCATTGAAGGGATCCGGCAGAATACCAGCGTCAGGTATATACCTGACACATGCTGAGCTGGACTCCCATTCGGTGCAAACTAAAGACACACTGAACCGCGCCGTTTTTTATTTTATTTTTTCCTTTTTCATTATGTTCTTTCTTTCGTACTACCCGTCTAATGCGTAATTTTTTTTTGTTTGATTTTATTTTCGTGTTAATTTGTATTGTGTACCCACTTATTTGTCAATTAATTTGTGTCTGTTATTGTTTGTGCTGAATAAATGTGTTATCTATCTATCTACCTCTCTTCGCTTACCTTAGCACAAGGACACTATCGATAATGTACATGCATGTAATGCAGCGCAGGAGACTCGACTTGTCCCGTCTTCAAAAAATCACAAACATCTATTTCAACTTTATATGTCTATATATATATATATTACAATACATAGAAACGTAAATTCAGTGAAACTACGAGAAGTATCTAACTTAAATAATGTTCTACCGACCGGCGACTGCGCCCGAACGTAATGTCAAACTCAAACTGAGACAGAACTCAAAGCGGGAACTAACCCTTACTAACGAATAAATATAGTTACGCTGTTATTGTACGATTGTACACACAATTTTAAAGTATTTAGTAATTACAGTAGTTAGCAAATAAATATATTTAAGCACTTATAAGTAATGGACAACAAACAGGCCATTACGGAGTGTCAACAATACATATATACTAGGTGAGTATGTACATGTGTCTGTGCAGGCCTCAATCAGGTCATGCAGGCCACACATTGTAATAATAAAATAATAATAAATTGATTTATTGACTGCACGTTTGGTGCAGTGGCTGAGCAACTGCATGCCGTGCAACGTGTCACGGGTTCGATTCCCGTACGGAACAACTCTTTGTGTAATTCACAAATTGTTTGTTCCGGGTCTGGGTGTCATATGTATGTCAAATTATACACGACGACGAAGAAACGACACAGAAGAAAATCGTAATGTAGGGCAACGTTTAAAAAAAATATTCAAGTGAGTGCCTAGCTGTGTTCACGTCTGCGAGCTGTCTTATCTGTGTAACTGCAAAAACAGCAGAGCTTAGTCACCCCGAAAGCGTCTTTATGTGGGAACCCCATTGAAGTTTATTATTATCTAGTGTAATACCTAAGAGCACTGTCTTGTTGACAAATTCTAACTTGTGGCCATTTAAAATTATGTCACAGTCATTTGTGTGTACGTTAGGCAACCAAATTTTATACTTTTTTTTTTCTCGTTAAGTGCTAAATTATTGACTGTAAACCAATTATGAACTTGATGAATGGAGCTGTTTACTTCGTCAAAATTATTTGCATGTCGACCTATTTTAAAAATTAACGATGTATCATCTGCAAACAGCACAATACTAGGCTCATCGTCATCGTCATCATCATCTCTAATATGGCTTTAGAAAAAATAAATCAATCAATAAAGCAATATATGTATAATTTCCTACGTAGGATGATTGCAAATTTGGATAAAGGGTTACTAGCAGTAGCATTATACATGGACATGTCTAAGGCCTTCGACCGTGTCGACCATAACTTTCTCCTTTGGAAAATGTATGCTTATGGCGTTAAACAGGAGACAGTTTACAAGATTTTAGTAGATATCAGTTTATAAGAAGGGTAAATTTTATAACAAAAACTGAAGAAATCTACATTTCTGAACCTGGAAGTGCTAAATGTGGTGTCCCACAAGGGAGTATCTTAAGACCTTTATTCTTTCGAGCCTGTATAAATGACATGCCTTCAATTACAAAACATGACATTACATTATTTGCTGATGATAGCAGCGTATTATTTACTAATAATAGTTCAATTAGTTTAGAATCTGACATAAATCAAACTTTAATAGGCATATTGGACTGGCTTAAAATTAATAACTTAACGTTTTATTTTGATAAAACTAATATAATGAACTTTAAAATTCGAACTCGATGAACACCTCCTTTAAATATTAGTTACTTAGAAAATACTATTGATGAAACTGATGTAACAAAATTTCTAGGATTATACATAGACAGTCAGGTAAACTGGAAAACACATATAGACCAAGTCTGCAAAAAAATAAGCCAATTTTCTTTCGCACTTTATATAGATTAGGAAAAGTTGTAAATGAAAAAACTTTGCTAACAGCGTAACACGGTTACGTTAGTTCTATCCTTAGATATGGAATTATTTTCTGGGGCAATAGCACCGACAGGCAGCGCGCGTTCGTCGCACAAAAACGCTGCATAAGAGCCATCTATAGTTTGTGTGATACTGACTCCTGCGAACCTTTCCTTAAAAACAAACACATATTTACTCTGCCAAGTCTGTACTTGTTTGAGGCTGCCATATTTGTCAAAACTAATATAGATCTCTTTGAATATCGAAAGCGTCAACGACATCAAGATAAATTACACTCAATAACAAGTAAAACTCATTTAATGCACTCGAGTATACTTTGTGCGGAACTTGGATATTTAATAAAATTTCAGGGCCTTTTAGAAATACCTCAGATATGAGAGAATTTAAAAGAAAGCTACATAATTTTTTAGTAAACAAATGCTATTATTCTGTTAAAGACTTCTTTGTTGATGAGTCAAGATGTTTTTGTGTGTGTGTGTGTGTATGAATTGACATGTTTATTTAACAATATATCTCTGTAAGTAAATCCTATTATAATATCGACATGTCTGAAATTTTATAATTTTGCTTTAATAATTCAATATTGTAAGCCCCAAGGGCGGGACATAGCTGTACATTAAAGTGTTTATATTATATTCCATCTATATTCATGTACCTACCGTGTATGTATGATCCACAATAAAGAGTTTGAGTTTGAGTCTCACTTTTAAATAGAAATGGCAAGTCATTAACATACACTAAAAAAGAAACGGACCCAATATTGAACCCTGCGGAACGCCCATTCTTGAACATGAACATGAACTCTCAGCTGCCTGTCCTCTAAATATGATTTTAGTAGACGGAGTGAAGTATGTCTAATCCCGTAATGATCTAATTTCAGTAAGAGTGTTTCATGATCAACGCTATCGAACGCTTATGAGAGGTCACAAAAGACACCAACAGCATCCTGTGCCTCCTCCCACGTACCGAATACTTCTTTTATCAAAGTGGTTCACACATGGTTAAATAAACACTAATGATGATTTCAATCAAGACGATTCGTGCAGAAGCATGGCTTTCCCTCATTTAAAAAACTTCATATTTGTGTCCCTTTATCGTGATTTAGCCTTATACAAATAATCTCTAAGTACTGAAGGGAAATAAAGGGTTTACAAGAATACACATCACATAAAATGGTTATATTTAATAAATACATTTGCCGAGAATACAACAATAATTAACAAACAACATAAACACAACAGTAATTAACAACAGAGTATGGAGCACACACACACGTGCGGCAGTATTTACACACGTATAGTATGAACATACCACACTCACACAAATACGCTTTCACTACTTTTTGTTACACACGGGGAACCACGGCGCGAGCGAGGTCGGGGGCCGTAGCATGAATTGCGTCGAGTCCGGCCCGTCCGTCGCGAGGAAATGAAAACTATACATCAGATACAGTAACAAACAGACATTTTTACTTACTTTACGAAGGCACCGTGTAACAATAACTATCGACTGGATTAAATAACATCTGCTGAGTATAAGTGTGAGCGACGTAGCCGGCGCTCCATACTGGTCCGGCAGCACACGTTGCACACGCAGGCTTCCGAGTGGAACAATATCACATAGAGTGCCTCAGCTTTGTACTCCGCCGCTAGCCGCAGCGTTTGGATCGGGTAAACTGTCTTTGGTCAGATCGTGTCTTGCACACATTCACGAGTAGATCGTCATCAGGATCATCTGTAACAAGACAGCAGTGAGTGGGGACCCACCGGGGCGGCTCACTCGCCCAGCTACACCCACCTCTTCCAGAGACACCGGGTTGTACTTGAGGCGCGAGTCCAGGCTGCGGAACCGTTCTGCAACAAGAACGTGCATCGTGAACGACGTTGCACCCCGCGCCCCGCGCCCCGCACCCCGCGGCCCGCGCGCCCCCCTCACCGTGCGCCACGTGCAGCCGCGCCAGCGCCATGACGTAGGCCTCGTGCGTGAGCCGCGCGTCGCGCGCGAAGCGCAGCACCAGCGCCTCCAGCACCTTGTTGGACACCGTGACGCCCGCCTCCCGCAGCAGCGCGCGCAGCCCGTATGACGACGCGCGCCGCCGCGCCCGCCCGCAGCGCCCCGCGCCCGCCGCGCGCGACCACGCCTCGCGCCACGCCGCCAGCAGCGCCAGCAGCGCCGGCAACTCGGAGCCGCGCATGGCACCCTCCAGTGTGGCGTCGCGCAGCGCCACCAGCGCCCCGCACAGCTCCAGCGAGGGCGGCGCGCACAGGCAGTCGCGCCAGTGGCGCCGCAGGGCACCGCGCAGCGCCGCGGCGTCAAGCTCGGCGGGCGGCGCGGCGGCGGGCCGCGGGCCGTGCAGGGCGGCGGCGACGTCGCGCACGACGAGGTTGTCGTCGTTGACCTCCCAGACGTCGGCGCGCGGCTCGGCCAGCACGCGCAGCAGGAAGGCGGCGGCGGCGTGGGCGCGCGCGTGCGGCACGACCAGGTAGCGGCCCGGCGCCAGTGCGAACAGCGAGGCGACCTCGCGCGCGCGCGCCTCGTGCGCCGCGTCCAGCGGCCGCAGCGCCGGGGCCCAGGCGGCGCGCGCGCCCGGCCGCAGCGCGTACAGCGCGAAGCCCACGGCCAGCAGGCGGCGCTGCCCGGGCTCGTACTGCTGCGTCACTGACACCACCACGTGACACTTGCGCGCGCCCTCACCCTCCGATGCCGGGATCTGCACTAGGAACTGTGGGTTGGCGCCCGTGGTCTCTGTGGAGGTGCGCAACATGAGTGGGAATTAGCTCGCGTCGAGTTCCCCCTCCCGAGACAAAGACCTCCTCTGCTCTGTAATTTGTTACTTTGGACTGTAATATAATTGGACCGGCTACAATAAGATCATCGACTATGAGCGACCTTGTAGTGTGTAAGCCGATTCTCCATACAACATGTACTTAGTATTAAGCTTAGGTTAATCAAACAGTATAATATACGCCTTAGTCAAGTCAACACGTCTCATCATTTCGGACCTACATTCAGTCAACAAAGTATCGGGAATGAATGTTTTTTTTATGGTTCCAAATTCGAATTTTTTTTTTTTTTTTGTTGTTGTTAGATTGGCATAACTGTTTTCCATTTTGGCGCGGAATTTGAGTTGCATCTGTTATTTATATTAAAAACAGTGCTGTTTTTAGTTTTATAATATCTAGTGTGTATTGCGAATTTCATAATGGACAAAAACATCGAACAAAGAGTTTGTCTTATGCATCGCCAATGAAATTTCGTGTTCGGAGGCACTCAAAATGTTACAGAAGGCTTACGGTGAATCGACTTTATCAAAAACACGTGCTTATGAGTGGTACAAAGCGTTCAAAAGCGCTCGAGATGTGATGGAAGATTTTCCTCGTTCTGGTAGGCCATCAACGTCTGCAACTGAAGTTAACATCGCAAAAGTGAAGGAAATAGTGACTAAAAATCCTCATTCAAGTTTGAGAGAGATGGCCGCCGAACTTTCTGTATCTCACGAGTCGATCCGTACCATTTTAACAAATAATTTGCGTATGAAACGTGTTGCCTCTCGGCTAGTCCCAAAAGACCTGAATTTTCTTCAAAAACTAAATCGCATGAAAGTCGCCGAGGACATGCTAGAACGAGTCAATACCGACCCAACATTCATGAAACGCATTGTTACTGGTGACGAGACGTGGGTTTACGAGTTTGACATGCAAACTAGTCAGCAAGCTTCGGAATGGCGCCTTCCAACTGAACCAAAACCGAAAAAACCACGTCAAAGTCGATCAAAAGTCAAAGTCATGTTGACTGTTTTCTTTGACTATCGCGGTGTTGTGCACTCAGAATTCTTGCCCGAAGGTCAAACGGTAAATAAAGAATATTATTTGAGCGTTATGCGGCGTTTAAGAGAACAAATTCGACGAAAAAGGCCAGAAATGTGGAAAGAAAATTCTTGGATTTTGCATCACGATAATGCGCCTTCGCACAAGGCCATCATTGTAAAAGATTTTTTGTCCAAACACTCAACAAACACCATCGAGCAGCCACCATATTCACCAGATATGGCTCCACCCGACTTCTTTCTTTTTCCCACACTCAAATTACCCCTTCGTGGCAACCGTTTTCAATCGTTAGAAGACATAAAGGAGAATTCGCGGCGAGCACTAAACTCAATTCCGGAAACAGCGTTTAAAAAAAGTTTCGATGATTGGATTATTCGTTGGCGTAAGTGTATCGTTTCTGAAGGAGCATACTTTGAAGGTGATAAAATAAATTTAGATGAATAACAAACATTTTGTGTATTATTGACTTTTTCCCGGTACTTTCTTGACAGAGTAGTATAACCCCCCACATTGCAACATGAAAGTTGTTTCCGAAGACGAGTTGACGTCGTTTCCAACCAAATACTTAGTTATTGAGCGTATAATCCACTGCACGGTTGGCGCAGTAGCTGGGCAACTGGCTGCTGTCTGCTGTGCAACGTGTCGCGGATTCGATTTCCGCACGGAACAACAATTTGTGTGATCCATAAATTGTTGTTTCGGGTCTGGGTGTGTTGTGTATGTTAATTTGAATGTTTGTAAATGCACCCACGACACAGGGGAAAATCCTAGTGTGAGGCAACGTTTTTTAAATAAAAAACGAGTTTGATAATGGGATCCATGAGAAATCGAGGGAACTCCTCAAATATTATTGGCAACTATATAGTAATTTTAATATTTTCATAGAGCTTTCAAGTATTTACAGTCAAAAAGTAATATTTGATGAGGTGGAACTGGTGAAGAAGATCAGAAATATAAATTTTGAATAAGTATTTGCAAAATATTAATGTCATATAAGTTTACCTATACATTAAGTTTCTTTACAGCAATTAAAATTTTTTATTTTTAACTTTTTAGTGTAGGAACTTCAACAATCTTTTCACTTTTTTGGAAGCCGTTTTTTTGTATTTTTTTTTTAGTTTAAAATATAATATGTTATATGCTGTATCTACATTATACGCAAGGTTATTCGAGACAAAGATATTGATATTGGACGCGTCATCAATAAGAGGGTACGCACCGGCGCAGCGCGGCGGGCCGCCCGCGTTGTACCCCGGGCGCCAGCGCCGACGCGCCAGGACGGCGCGCCAGGGCCGCCGCGCCTGCAGCGCCGGCTCCAGCAGCCAGTCGTCCGGCCCCACGTGCACCAGCTCCAACTGACTGAACGTCTCCGCGAACTCATCGAATGACATCCTGCAACGGAATCAGGGTATGACTACTCAACATTCTCATTATATTGCATGGCTTTTCTTTGATTTTCCACAACACGTCGTGTTACGTCTTTGATTTTGCAAAAGAGTAGCGACGGAGTTTCTTTGTCGTTCTTTTACATTCAAATCTACACATTGGAACGAGCACCCAAGGTCACTGCGAACAGACTGAGAGAATATTTTTCTATTTTGACGTTGCAAAAGCAAATATTTATGGATGAGTTGGAACAAATTATTTTGACTTTGACTTTGACGTCGGTCTCAACTTGCACTCGTAGTTCAGTTAGTTTGGGCTGCGTTAAGTAAACAACTGCCCTGTTCAAGCTGCCAACGATGACAGCCAACCATGTTGACGTAACCAGGCTTTTTAAGCACATGAATGTATCTATTGTGCTTTTGTTGAGGAACCGATCGGCTGAAGGTGGAGTCCACGTCCCAGGAACAACCCATCACAGCTTGCATGAAACTTTGTGTAAGAGTACTGACCAGAAGTCGTCGAGTGAGTCAGTGCGGGGCGCCAGGAGTTCACGGTCATGCGGTCCCAGCGCGGACCACTCCGAGCTGCCGGGGGCCCAGGCGCCGCGGCCCAGCGCGTCGGGGGCCCAGGCGCCGCGGCCAGGCGCGCCGGCGGGGCCACGCAGCCGCACCAGCAGCGTGGTGCCGCGCACGCGCGCCAGCCCCGCCACCACGTAGGCGCGGCCGGGCGCCTGCCCCCGCGCGGGCCCCGCGCCGTGCGCCACCAGCAGGGTGGAGCGCGGCACGGCCGTCTGCAGCACCCGCAGCGTCAGCGCCCGCGGCTGCGCGCGCAGCGAGAAGCTCTGCACGACGCCGCCCGACAGCGCCTGCAGCGCGTCCGCCACGCTGGCGCCACGCAGCGCCGCGTACGAGCCGTGCAGCCTGCGCAGAGCTGGCGTGAGGGGGGGCCGGGCGCCGCGCGCCGCCCCCGGCCCGCACTCACTTGGCGTAGGCTTTCTCCAGCAGCGGCAGCGTGAAGTCGTAGCGCGCGGCGCGACCCGGCAGCCTGTCATCCACCACTACGTCGCGCCACTCGCCGAAAACCCAGAATCGGAACCTGCGCATGCGCATCACACCACGCAATCTGTTACAATATAAATACAACAAAGAACTGTCATTGTTTAGGATTCCCCAGCCAAAGGATAAGAAACGAAACCCTCATAATATGTTTGTCCGTATTTGATGGCAATCGGGTTCTTTCTGAAACTTTAGGATCTATATTGTTGAAACTTGATAAATCAGAAGTTTAGCGGAAAACTTGTCCTTAGGCATATGGCGCCAATTGTATGTATATATTTAACTGCTTATCCAAAGGGATAACCGATACGCCAAACAAATTTTTTATGTTCTGCCTCGCAGTGTTAGTTGATCAATGAATTGACAAGCCTTTCAGATACTGGATGTAAGCACAGAACATATATACCCTAAAGAGGTGTAAGAGGACTGACCGACAGACTGACACTTTATATCTTTAAAATTTTGTTTGAAGTTCAAAAGTGCCTGTATGGGTCTAATTGAAATAAATGATTTTTCAGCATCGTTTTTTGTCGATATATTATTTTCAATATATGTATTGGTGCTAATCATGTCATTAATATCAAGTTCGAGTACTGCAGACATGATGTTATTGATTTTATTATTAACACTCAAGGCGCCTGATGATATCGATGATGGCTCCATCGAAAGTGAACTGATTTATTTATTTAAATAGAACGACAGAAACCAATTACACTATTTAAACATTTGTAAACCACATTAACCTATTAGAACAAACAAGAGAAACATATAACAAATAATATAATAAATTTACTCAATTCAGTCACGCATTCCCCTCACAAAACTTCAAACACTCTGAGAGTATCGTCTTTTAGTCATCCACAAACACATCGAGATCAGTGTTTGAGTTCAGGAGAGCGTTAATAGCCGCTGATGTCCGAGGAATAGGTGACTTGGAGTGAGCAATAGTTCGGCTGGTCGGAACCGCCAACAGCCGATGCCTTCTGCCACGACTGTAATTGTCATGGACAAACACGTTGCATATCTCATTGCGCAGTTCAGGATCATCAATAATCCCTCAAGTATTTTAAATACTACAGTCATCTGATCGCGCGAACGTCGTACTTCAAGGGAGTTGAAATTTAAGCATCCCAGAAAAAAATTCGTTGGATAATGGATACAAATAGGGGCAAAACCCGTACACATGCTTGTAAAGGCACCTAAGGAATGATTTCTGTACTTTCTCTAACATTAACATAATGCTTCTCAAAAGGATTCCATACACACGCACTAGACTCAAGTTTGCTACGTGAAGCATCAACAAGCTCCACCGACATTGATATGGATCTGATCTCCGTGGATCTGATTTATTTATTTTCACGATTATTCTATTTACAATGTCCCCTCTGCCGTCATTCCGTCGCACCCTGTGCCGCGCTGGCGAGGACTCAACGCCGGCCTATACATGTAAATGTTATCGATATTGAAGCAGAACAGACAAAGTAGATACCTGAAAGCGCCCGCGTAATGGCGGCGGAAGGACTGCGGCGGCACGGCGCGGTCCAGCAGGCGCGGCGTCAGCTCCAGCGCGGTCGCGGCGGTCGCCAGGCGCGCGCCCCCCCCTCCCCCTCCGCCCGGCGCCTCCTGCACCGCCCACCTGCCGCACACACTGCCACTCATCAGCTAAGGCGATGCCACTTCCGGCTCTTTATGTCTATACATATATGTGTATAATATCGCCTAGTATTTTCACTATTAGATAATTCATTTATCAAGGAAGGCTATCCCTAAGTATATGTATAATATGGTTGTTGTTTGACACCCAACTTTATGTATGTAGCTTATATACCTACAGTGAGGGCTCAACAGATCGTGAGCACAGTGTTAGTTCACTGCGCCACTGGGCCAGGGAAATCATTTTTGTTGTACCTACTTTATTATATATTGTGTCAATAAACAATTTATCGTACTTGATACTAATGTAAAAGTTTGTGAGAATGTATGTTTGTTATTCATTACTCGTACGCAAAAACGGCTGCGTACGGCTACGTAGGTATGTAAGGTGATACCTGGGCGTAACCGCGGTCGGAAGCTAGTTATGCATACATGTAGGTCAGACAGCACGACGACGTCAAGCTACTCATCTTTACTTTACGAGATGCGCTGCTGTCTGTCCTGATTTGTGTGGTTACTGAGGAAGATAAGTAATCTACATCACTCAAACATCAACGCAGACCTCATTCTGTACTGCCGAGGGCCGGGCACGTTGTTACAGCAGCGGTAAGACCCATCTTTGAGAGTCCTCGCCTTCCGCCTGACGCAGGTGCTTACCGGGCACGGCAGCTTCGGTAGGTTCCTGTTTCGGATCCATCGGAAGGAAACGCCCGAGTGTCGTCATTGCGAGGACCACCTAGAGGATCCGGGAAGCATACAGTGGCGATGTGCCCTGCCTGGGCTGAGCACCGCCGTATCCTCGGGGAAATGATTAGCGGCGGCGATCTCTCGCGCCCGGCCTTAGTCGAGGCTATGTTTTGTAGCGAGAGGAACTATCCTCCTCGCGCCCCAGCCACCGCCGCCACACTCCGGGCGTTGGGGATCGAGAGACGAAAAATAATTTCTTAACTCGGTCAATAAATTCCGAACGTTATGCCTTAACATACATGTAAAAATAATATCGGATTGAGAACCTACTTCTTTTTTGAAGTCGGTTAAAAACAATGTTTTGATCGCTACCATTACACAACAGAAGTTAAATTCGCGGGAAATCGAAACACACTTGTTTGCGATACAAACACGCGAACGAAGTCGCGGGCACAGCTAGTATTGAATATAAGTGTTATAGCTAGTTAGTGTACTTGAAGTAAATATGTAAATATATTTTTCAGAATTAGGTCATTGTCGTCTACCTGTATCCTTCTTGCAGACTAGTTCATTAAAAATTACAATAACGTCACTAACGCATACGAAGCATACTTGAATACAACGATGTGAAACGTTACAAACTGTTTATTTTGTTATTAAATAAATATTCAGTCAAGATGTGTCATACTCGGGCATCGCGGTCTCGTTGTGTTGCAGTCGTCAGTCGTGTGAGCTCACCTGTCGCTGGCGCTGAGCTGCTCCGCGTGGTCCCCGTCAGCGTCGTCGCCGCGGAACCTCGGCCGCGGGCACAGCTCCTGCAACATTCCTACACTGAGTAAGGAGGGACTAAGGTGAAAACCAGTCCTACTAGTCATACTAATATTATAAAGAGGTAAAATTTGTAAGTTTGTATGGAAGCACACAGAAGAACAGGAATCGAACCCTATTACAGCTTGTCCTAACCTGAATTCAGCACGGAACAGTACCGTAAGGTGGCACCACGCCTAGCCCCGCCTCGGACGGTGCCAGGGCAGGGACGTGGCGAGGTCAGCCAACACTGCGACACACAATACACACAAGGGTCACATCGCTATGCTGCGCACGCGCGCCGCGGAGACAACGTCCGTCGTGCGGCCGACCTCTATACCGGTGCCAGGGCTCGCACTCGCATACAAGTAAATCAGCTACTCGTACGGAAAATTGATGCATTCATTTAGTTTGTTCTTACTTTTTAGGATGTAATTATCAAAAATTAGAAACTGGGTTATAAGTGCCAATAATTGTAACACAGTAATGTTATTTAATAAAAGTACAAAAATATGCGAAGTATACTGACGTGCGGGCGCAGCCAGCGCATCCTGCGCGCCGGGGGCGGGAAGGTGTCATCCTGGAACAGCGCGCCCCCGCCGCCGCCGCGCCTGCTGGACAACGCACGGTTCACTAACTCGACACAGGCTACAACCATGGCGACACCCACTCATTCACTGTATTTACTGTAACACAAGTTACCTAGTTAAACGGCTACGGTTTGTATTCCTCTTACATCTTCAAAAATACTCAACACGTTTCGCAAGGCAAGGGAAGAGGACGAGTTCGTTAGCAGGTTGGCAGGGTGCATACACTTACATAACACGAACATGGTGAACTCAAATTGGATTGTGAGATTGGAAAGAACTTAGGTTCAATGTTGACAAATGAATTACCTGGACAGTCAATATTTAATCACTGTATGCCTGGCTGTAGTTTTGGTAATATTTTGGATAAAATTAATAAATATAAATTTAATCAAGATTCTACCCTCATTATAATGTGTGGTAACAGAGGTAGTCTAAATAAAAAAAGTTTAATCAATTTCCATAATTCACTTGCCAAACTTAATTTAAAGCAGATAATTATATTTGCATTGCCTTATATAAAATCATTGCCACAGGAAGAAAACAATACTAGATATAAAATTAACACTACAATGTATAACTTAAGTAATAATACTAATATTCACTTCATAGACACCAACAATTATGTTGGTCTTAATATATATAGGACAAAAGATAGGTACTATCTTTCAAAATATTATTTAAGACAAATAGCAATGTCGCTATCATATTTTTTTAATATATCAGCCAATAACTTGGCTAAACAGGTTACTCCTATTGAGCAACCAAAAAATATTGACATTCATAATGAGTCACCTAATACTGACATTAATAATAATTTAAATTATTAAATAAGACAATAGAGACAAACTCTTGCAAATTAAACAGTAATAAGGTTATTAGTCTGGTTCACCAAAACATTCAAGGCTTTATGAGTAAAGAATTGGAAATAGAGTTATTTTTAAATTGTAATAATGTGGATATTTTGTGTATTACTGAACATTGGCTGAAACCCCATCAGCTCATGTTCAATTTTGGTAAGCACCAGATTGGTAGCTCGTTCAGCGGAGAAAACGCTATACATGGTGGGTCACTTATACTGATAAGTAACCAGCATAAATTCAAAGATCGCAAAGATATAGTTAGTTACTCTGTTGAGCGTACTGTTGAAATAGCCTGTGTGGAATTGGAGCGGTTTATTGTATTAAGCGTGTATAGACCACCTTCTGGTTTGTATGACTGTTTTGAAACAGTAATGGATGAAGTTCTTAGTAAACTTACAAATTCAAAGAAATCCATCATTACATGTGGTGATTTTAATATAAATTTATTAGAAAAATGTAGTTTAAGCACAAAAATTGTAAGTTTGTTTTCTTCATACAACCTTGCGAATTTGTTTCTGGAGCCAACTAGGATAACACCCACTAGTGCCACTTGCCTGGACAATATTTATACTGACATTGTGCCAGTTAACAAAGAAATAATTTCAGTACTTGATTCCGATCATTGTGGTCAGTTAATTTCTTTAACAAATGAAATAAATATAGTGTCAAAACAATTTATCACAGTTAATCCGAAGACTAAAAGACGCATTGAATTTTTCAAAGCTAAACTCAGCAACAAATTGCCTTTGTTGTTGAATTATAAGAATTCTAACACTTTATATGATAAGTTTTTTAAAATGTACCTAACAGAGTTTAAGTCTACTTTTACAGATAAAACTATACCAGCTAATAGCAATGCGTCTTTCGGTGATTGGGCAACCACTGGTATCTATAAGAGTAGAAATCGCCTCTATGAGCTTTATAATGAGCGGACATATATTAACACTGTTGAATTCAGTGAATATGTAAAAAAAACTATTCTAAATTATTCAAAAAGGTTTGCTCTATTGCTAAATCACTATTCTTAAGCTCTAAGATAAAGAACAGTACCAATGTTATCAAAGACACTTGGAATATTATCAATAGTGAGGCAGGAAGGTCTAAAAAGAGAATAAATCAACATAGTCTTGTAATTGATAATAAGTTAATAAAAGCGGATGTAGAAATTGCAACTGCTTTTGAAAATTTCTTTTCCGACATTCCTGTATCCACTACTAAGTCACTGAATTCATCTCCCACTGTTGCAGAGTCTTTACTCAAAAAACATGTTGTAGCTTGCGATTCAGGGTTTTCCTTCGAGCACATAGATAACAAAGAAATTGTTAAAATCTTTAATACTTTGAATAACAAAAAGACTGCAGATCTATGGGGTAATTCTGTGTATATTACAAGCTCTGTAATAACTATTGTAGCACCTGTATTAGCTCAAATCTTTAATAACTGTATTGACTGTGGTGTGTTTCCTGATCTTATGAAATGTAGTAAAATAATTCCATTATTTAAATCAGGTAGTACTTCTGACCCCACTAACTTTAGACCGATTTCAGTGCTACCTACGTTCAGTAAAATTTTTGAAAAAATTATTTTAGATCAAATGCAAAGATTTTTTAATAGAAATAAATTATTACATGCGAAACAGTTCGGATTTACAAGGGGTCGTTCAACAACTGATGCCGGTGTTGAACTTCTTAATCACATTTACGACGCATGGGAGGACTCAAGCGACGCTTTGGGAATATTTTGTGATTTATCCAAGGCGTTCGATTGTGTGCTTCATGATACACTGATCAGGAAGCTATCCCATTACGGAATAAGAGGTGCATCTCTGGACCTTCTTACCTCATACCTGAGTAATAGGGTTCAGAGAGTTGAAGTAAACGGAGTGGTTTCTTCCGGATCTGTTATGAGGATGGGTGTTCCGCAGGGTTCTATCCTCGGCCCGTTTTTATTTCTTATCTATATTAATGACTTGCCTTACCTTGTAAGGGATAAACACGAGATAGTGCTGTTTGCTGATGATACCTCACTATTATTTAAACTCAGACGACGACAATTAGTTATTGACAATGTAAACAGTGCTCTCTCAGAAATAGTTCACTGGTTTGGTGTTAATAACTTATTACTTAACGAAACTAAAACTAAATGTATTAAATTTACAACACCAAATGTTAAACAGGTTAAAACCAGTGTGCTTGTCAAGGGCGAGGAGTTGAGTCCTGTAGATACAACTGTCTTTTTAGGTATAACCCTGGACGCTAAGCTCCAGTGGGGCCCACATATAGATGGCTTGTCGAAGAAGCTCAGTTCTGCAGCATATGCCGTTAAAAAAATTAGAAATTTAACAGATGTAGACACAGCGCGGTTAGTTTATTTTAGTTATTTCCACAGCATCATGTCATACGGTATTTTGTTGTGGGGGAATGCTGCTGACATTCAGTCTATTTTTGTTCTGCAGAAAAGGGCTATTCGATCAATCTATAATCTTAGTCCGAGGCATTCGCTCAGAGAATTATTTAAGGAAACTAAGATAATGACGGTTGCCTCACAATATATTTATGAAAATGTAATTCACGCTCATAAAAACAAAAGCTTATTTAAGAAGCATAGTGATATACATAATATTAACACGAGGGGGAAAAACAAATATGTTGTCCCCGCCTCCAGGCTTCAGAAAATAAGTAGTTCGTTTAGATGTCAATGTATACGCTTTTACAATAAAATTCCTAGGGATATTCAAAATTTGAGCCTCAATAATTTTAAAAGTGTAATAAAGGCTAAACTTTACTGTAAAGCATTTTATAAAATAAAAGACTACTTAGAAGATAGTCAGGCTTGGGAATGAGCCGCTGTAACTTCTGCACAGGTCATGTTGACATGTTTGTAACATAAGTTACGCTTTTTATATACAATTTGACATTACGTTTATTTTTTTAACAATGACATTATCACCTATTGTGACATTTTTATTTTTATTTGACATTTTTTATTTTATTTATTATTTTTATAATTATTTATTGACATAATTATTATTTTCTATTATTGTTAGTGTAAGGACCGTGTGAGACTTGCCGTGCTTTTTGATTACCAGTTATCTGCGTTCTGACAGTTTGAGTACTTGCGTGACCCAACCAAATGTTCTTTAGATCGGTATTGTTCGTCGGATAACTCAGCAGCACTTGCTATGCTGGTTGCAAACTGACACTTGCGTGCCTGTCTTCAGAACGGGTCCACTTAAACTGGTGTGGTTCTTTCATCAAAAGACCACTACAGAATGAACTTGCACGGTTCTCTCACATTATGTTATTTTTACATTGTCTGGACTTGAAAAGAGACTGACCTCTGAGTTTGTTTCGGCATTTCTTCTCAGAGTAGTCAGATAGGAAATGCCGGCTTCATCTAGTTTTTTACATATAAATTGACGTGTAAAAGTGCCGTTTTATGGCCTATTTGCAAAAATAAATTCATTGTTTCATTGTTTCATTGTTTCAAACATCAAAACTTACGATTCCGCCAAGTAATATATAGGTACTTACTTTGCTTATCTTCAAATATTTTCTAAAACTCCAATAGAGCACTAAGCTAGAACCTCTTTTATAGTTTGTGTTTCCACTGTCCACTGGTATTTATTGATTGCACGAATTGTTTTTGATTTACCATTTATTCCCCGGAAGTAATTTTGAAAAAATCTCAATAAGTACTTAGTATCCCCCAACTGTAACGCGCACAGATGCCAATTTTCGGCATATACATATATATGCACAACAATAGTCCGTCAGTTTGTTCGACAATGAAGCTGAGTTCGTTCCAAAGTGTAGATGTCAAAGGAGAAGAACTTAGAAGAAACACCACCGTTGTTTCTTAAAAAATATGTTTTACACTCTCACTAATACATGTTTAATACGATCAATTCCTCATGGTTAATTTTGAATACTTTATTGTCTGGAAGATGGCGCTCACATACGCATACTGTCACACTGGCAGAACAGATTAAAACATTCGGAATTTTGCTTAAACACTGAAAGGGGTCAGATTTCGTTGAGCTCAGATGTAGCTTAGGAGTTTGAGACTTTTTTTGCTAACATACCTGTCAATACAACGGCTCATTTAGAATCATCAGCCAAACGTTTTCGAACAATTAATGATATTTCGGATGCTTCATCACTTTGATAAACATGCCATATTCCATCACCAACAATACGGTTTCAATA